GCGGCTGCGCACTGAGGTAGCCTGGGATGGCCACAGACATAGGCTTCTCCAGCAGTAGCTCCTGTCCACAGGATGTTGGGACCCCCCACGGCAGCCTCTCCTGTCTCCTCTCTCCCCCACCCTTGCCTAGGCATTGGCTCTTCCAATCCAGTTGGAGCAGCCTCTGCCTGTGCTCCCCCTAACCTGAGCCTGTCATGGACTCATGTCTGAGACAGAGACAGCTCCAGGTATCCTTTCTTTTCCACGCTGAAAAGTCCCAATCTTGTTAATCTCTCCTCATATGGAAACTTTGTTCCTTACCCGTAATAATATTTGTTGCCCTTTCAGTACCTTTTCCAAATCCAGTGTATCTTTTTCTAGATGGGGTGCCCAGGTCTGCATGCCGTATTCAAGATGTAGGCATACCATGACTTTACATAGAGGCAATATGATATTTTGTGTCTTATGATCTATTCCTTTGCTAATGACTCCCAATATTCTGTTAGCTTGTTAGACTGCTACTGCACATTGAGCAGATGTTTTCAGAGAACTTTTCACAATGATTCCAAGAGCGCTTTCTTGAGTGGTAACAGCTATTTTAGACCCCATCATTTTTATATATGTATAGCTGGGATTATATTTTTCCATGTGCATTACTTTGCATGTATCAACACTGAATTCCATCTGCCCTTGTATTGCCCATTCATCCAGTTTTGTGAGATTTGGTCTTAACTATTTTGAGTAATTTTGTATCATCTACAAATGTTGCTACCTCATTGTTTATGCCTTTTTCAAGCAACAAATAATCATTCATGAGCTTTCATGGGGAAAACCCACTTCCACAGATGAGTAGTGTTCCAAATGCAGATCTTTTAAGCAGAGTACTGTACAGGCAGTCCCCGGGTTACGTACAAGATAGGGACTGTAGGTTTGTTCTTAAGTTGAATCTGTATGTAAGTCAGAACTGGCGTCCAGATTCAGCCGCTGTTGAAACTGATCAGTTTCAGCAGCGGCTGAATATGGACGCCAGTTCTGACTTACATACAGATTCAACTTAAGAACAAACCTACAGTCCCTATCTTGTACGTAACCCGGGGACTGCCTGTACAGTACTCTGCTTAAAAGATCTGCATTTGGAACACTACTCATCTGTGGAAGTGGGTTTTCCCCATGAAAGCTCATGAATGATTATTTGTTGCTTGAAAAAGGCATAAACAATGAGGTAGCAACATTTGTAGATGATACAAAATTACTCAAAATAGTTAAGACCAAATCTCACAAAACTGGATGAATGGGCAATACAAGGGCAGATGGAATTCAGTGTTGATACATGCAAAGTAATGCACATGGAAAAATATAATCCCAGCTATACATATATAAAAATGATGGGGTCTAAAATAGCTGTTACCACTCAAGAAAGCGCTCTTGGAATCATTGTGAAAAGTTCTCTGAAAACATCTGCTCAATGTGCAGTAGCAGTCTAACAAGCTAACAGAATATTGGGAGTCATTAGCAAAGGAATAGATCATAAGACACAAAATATCATATTGCCTCTATGTAAAGTCATGGTATGCCTACATCTTGAATACGGCATGCAGACCTGGGCACCCCATCTAGAAAAAGATACACTGGATTTGGAAAAGGTACTGAAAGGGCAACAAATATTATTACGGGTAAGGAACAAAGTTTCCATATGAGGAGAGATTAACAAGATTGGGACTTTTCAGCGTGGAAAAGAAAGGATACCTGGAGCTGTCTCTGTCTCAGACATGAGTCCATGACAGGCTCAGGTTAGGGGGAGCACAGGCAGAGGCTGCTCCAACTGGATTGGAAGAGCCAATGCCTAGGCAAGGGTGGGGGAGAGAGGAGACAGGAGAGGCTGCCGTGGGGGGGCCCAGCACCCTGTGGACAGGAGCTACTGCTGGAGAAGCCTATGTCTGTGGCCATCCCAGGCTACCTCAGTCAGAGGCTGCTTCAGGGCAGCCTCCCACCCCATCCCCACTGCAGCAGCCTTTGTCTGGAGGGAGCTCAGACCCCCCCATGGATGGTCTCAGAGTAAAAGGTCTCTGAAGTGTACAGGTAACTGTAGATTGGCTTCCCTAACACTATAAGTTTAGAGAGGAATGTATACGCCTCTATATCAAAACAATCTGATTTCATATTCTAAAATGTCACCCAAAGCTATTTTCATAATATTTAAATATTGATTTGGTGTGTGAACTCCAGATCACTTGATAATCTATCATCCTCTTTTCTAGATCGGTACTGCACATCAGGAAAATGCCCGGCTCATCCTGGAGATTGATAATACCAGGCTGGCATGTGATGACTTTAAAATAAAGTAAGTTTTACGATCAATTAATATGATCTCTTCCCCACTGATACTCAGGTGATCTCTTTGAATGCCAGTGGGTCTTCTGGCAATTGTGTGTTTTAGGAGGGAACTGAATCTGTTCAGACCACTAAAATTGAACAGTAATACAAAATGGACACATTAGTAAAAACCCATCTGCCATATTCCCATTGAGAAACCCTACATATACACTTGTATAGCTTGTCTTGATAATAAAGTTAGAGGAGTTAAAATTGAGAATCAAATTGTTTGTCTCTAGAGTAAGTAAAAAGGCAACCTGCAGACTGAGTCTCTAGTTTGTAATAGTGATTCTCTGAGATAGGCCTGCAGTCCCACCTTATTACAATAAAGCATATCAGTAATTACATATTAATTGTGCATTAGCAATTACATACTAATGATGCTGTAATGAATATTTCTTTTCCAGGTATGAGAGTGAGCTAGCAATCAAGCAAAATGTGGAAAATGACCTTGCTGGACTACTTAGAGTCCTTGACGACATGACCTTGTCAAGGGCAGATTTAGAGCTACAGATTGAAGGTGTGAATGAAGAGCTGGCTTTCCTCAAGAAAAACCATGAAGAGGTGAGAGCAGGGGTAGCCAACCCACGGCTTGTGAGCCGCATGTGGCTCTTCACTGCAGAAAGTGTGGCTTGTGGCGCCGTTCCTGTGCCCCCTGTGCTCACCGAATGCAGGGGAGCCGTCTGGCGCGGCAAGGCAAAATGGCACGGCATCTTTTTTTTTTTCAAAATTTTTTTCCCCTCAGCTCTTTGTGCTATGTCCACCACTATTTTGGCTCTTTGCCTGTAATGGGGTGGCCATCTGTGGGTGAGAGATTCAGAGAAACTCGTTCAGAATTCCCACAGAATTCCCTTACTGCAGAAAGTTTAACAGGTAGTTTGAACTAGGTCTTTATTTCAAATGCCCGTTTCGCTGCCGCATGTAGACACGGGCAGTTAGTCTGGGCTTGTAAATTTCAAAAATGGTGACCGTCCAGGAAAATGCAAATCAAGCACGGTATATTTAAATCCTGGGCTTGATTTGTGATTCTGAATGCCTACATTAGCCTCCCTAGTTCGAACTAGGGGGCTAGTGTAGACATAACCCATGATCTTGAGGAACTCATTTAACTTAATCATAGAATCATAGAATCCCAGAATTGGAAGGGACCTCAAAAGGTCATCAAGTCCAGTCCCCTGCCCTCATGGCAGGACCAAGCACCGTCTAGATCAGGGTGGGCAATAATTTTTGACGGGGGCCACTCCAAGATTTTGGAAAGTGGTCAAGGGCCGCACTCCTCCAGGATATTAATGGAGGAATTCGAGTCTGGGATGGAGGTTGAGTGCAGAAGGGGTCTTGGGAAAAGGGACTGGGGTGCAGGAGGGAGAATGGGGTCTGGGAGGGAGTTTGGGTGAAGGAGGCAGTTGTGACCTATGTCAGGGGACTAGTATGCAGGATTTTGGGATGTGACCTGGGGTAGGAGAGGATTGAGATCTGGGGCAGCGGATTGGGATGCCAGATGTGGGAGGGGGTATGGGTGTAGGAGGAGGCAGAGGGTATGGGTATGTAGAGGGGGGCAGAAGGTTGGAGAAGGGAGAGGCTGGGATGCTGGAGGCAGGCTCTGGCTGGGAGGCGCTTACCAGCAGAAACCTGAGGCAGCTGCTCGCTCCACATGGCTCCACTCCAGGCATGAGAGGGAGGGGGAAGGGGTCAAGGAGGAAGGGAGAAGGCTTCCTACACTGCTCCTGCTGCCAGGAAAAATTCTCAGCTCCTACTGGACAGAAACTGAGAGATTAGCCAATGGGAAATAAGGGTATGTCTACACTACCCCGCTAGTTCGAACTAGGGGGGTAATGTAGGCATACCGCACTTGCAAATGAAGCCCGGGATTTGAATTCCAAACTACCGGTACACCTAGGAAGCCTAGTCCGAACTACCTAGTTCGAGCCCCGTGTAGCCGCGCTGCACGGGGTTCGAACCAGCGGGGTTTTAAAAATGGCAGCTCCCCGCTTATGCAAATGAAGCCCGGGAAATTCAAATCCCGGGCTTCATTTGCAAGTGCGGTATGCCTACATTAGCCCCCTAGTTCCAACTAGGAGGGTAGTGTAGACATACCCTTAGAGATTTTGCTGGGGGATGGGAACAGCGTGAGAATCTTTCTTCTCCCTCTCCTGCTATCTGGAATGGAGAACACCTGGCTTTTTAAGGTGTGAGCTGTTCTCTGCCTAAGGGTTCTGGCAAGGTGGCTGCAGGCCAGATCCGGTGGCTTGGCAGGTCTGATCCAGCCCTCTGGCAGCCTCCTGCCCACCCCGATCTAAATCATCCCTGACAGATGTGTATCTAACCTGCTCTTAAATATCTCTAATGATGGAGATTCCACAACCTCCCTAGGCAGTTTATTCCAGTGCTTAACCACCCAGACAGGAAGTTTTTCCTAATGTCTAACCTAAACTTCTCATGCTGCAATTTAAGTCCATTGCTTCTTGTCCTATTCTCAGAGGCCAAGGAGAACAGTTATTCCCCTCCTCCTTGTAACCTCCTTTTAGATACTTGAAAACCGCTATCATGTTCCCCCATCAGTCTTCTCCTTTCCAAACTAAACAAATCCAGTTCTTTCAGTCTTTCCTCATAGATCATGTTTTCTAGCCCTTTAAATCATTGTTGCTGTTCTCTGTATCTTCTCAAATTTCTCAACATCTTTCAAAAAATGTGGTGCCCAGAACTGGACACAATTCTCCAGATGAGGACTAATCAGGGCAGAGTAGAGCAGAAGAATTACTTCTCATGTCTTGCTCACAATAGTCCTGTTAATGCAACAGAGTGTGTCTAGACTACACGGATTTGTCGACAAAGTGGACTTTTGTCAACAAAACTATGCCTGCGTCTACACTACCGCCGAGTTCTGTCGACATAACATTTACAGAACGCGGCAGTTTTGTTGACGGCAGTAAACCTCATTCTACAAGAAATAATGCCTTCTATTGACAGAGTTCTGTCGACAGAAGGCGTTATTGCATCTACACTGTCCTTTGCGTCTACACTGTCATGTCAACAAAGCGGCTTGCTTTGTTGACAGAACTGGATGCAGTATAGATGCTCTTTGTCGACAGAGGCTTTGTCAACAGTATCTGTTGACAAAGCCTCTGTTGACAAAAGCCTGTAGTCTAGACGTACACAGAATGATGTTTGGTTTTTTTGCAACAGTGTCACACTGTTGACTCATTTTTAGCTTGTGGTCCCCTAAGATCCCTTTCTGTAGTATTCCTTCCTAGACAGTCGCTTCCCATTTTGTATGTGTGGAGTACTCTGCGTTTATCCTTACTGAACTTCATCCTGTTTATATCATCCAATTTCTCATTTGTCCAGATCATTTTAAATTCTAATCCTATCCTCCAAAGTACTTGTAACCCCTTTCAGCTTGGCATCATCCACAAACTTTACAAGTGTACTCTCTATGCCATTATCTAAATTGTTGATGAAGATATTGAACAGACCTGGTCCCAAAACTGATCCCTGCATGATCCTATTTATTATGCCCTTCCCACATGACTGTAGACCAGTGGTCCCCAACACGGTGCCCGCAAGCGCCATGGCACCCGCGGGGCCATTTGTGTGTGCCCGCCAAGTGCTCGGGGCTGGCCTGGCCCCGGGCACGTGGTGCATGCATCGTGCCGGAGCCGGCCCAGGTGCATGGTAAGCGCCGGCCCCCAGGAGCGCTGCGAATTGGCCGCTCGTGCCCTGGGCGCGCGGCGCTTGGGGGGAGGGGCGCTGGCCCCAGGTGCACGGGCGCGCGGCGCTTGGAGGGTGAGCGCTTGGGGGAGGTGGGGGCGCCGGCCCCGGGCGCATGGCATTTGGAGGGGGCACCGGCCCCCGGCGCGCGGCGCTTGCAGGCAGGGACTGGCTTTATAATGTCTTTGTTAAGCCCAGGGAAACAGAGTCAAATCTGTAGATGAATACCAATTTGTAGATGTCAAGTATCAGAGGGGTAGCTGTGTTAGTCTGAATCTTGCAAAAGCGGTGAGTGGGGGCGCCGGCCCCGGGCGCATGGCATTTGGAGGGGGCACCGGCCCCCGGCGCGCGGCGCTTGCAGGCAGGGACTGGCTTTATAATGTCTTTGTTAAGCCCAGGGAAACAGAGTCAAATCTGTAGATGAATACCAATTTGTAGATGTCAAGTATCAGAGGGGTAGCTGTGTTAGTCTGAATCTTGCAAAAGCGGTGAGGAGTCCTGTGGCACCTTATAGTCTAACAGAAGTGTTGGAGCATAAGCTTTTGTGGGCAAAGACCCACTTCGTCATCTGACATGCATCTGACGAAGTGGGTCTTTGCCCACGAAAGCTTATGCTCCAACACTTCGGTTAGTCTATAAGGTGCCACAGAACTCCTCGTCAAATTTGTAGATGAATACCAATTGCACAATATCACTCTGTATTTGGCTGGTGACATTCCTTTGTAGAATGGCTACTTTTAAGCCCATGATGGAGTGATCAAACAGGTTAAAATGTTCCCTACAGGTTTATGTGTGTTACTATTTCTGATGTCTGAGTTGTGTTCATTTATTCTTTGTCATAGAGACTGTCCAGTTTGGCCAACATACATGGCATTGGGGCATTGCTGGCACGTAATGGCATATGGTTATCCAACCAATTATGCACCCACCTTATAATAGCCCCATCCAGGTTGTATTTCCCTAGTTTATCTATAAGGCAGTGTCTAGACTACATGCCTCTGTCGGCAGAGGCATATAGATTAGACACATAGGCAAACGCAAATGAAGCCGCGATTTAAATGATCGCGGCTTCATTTAAATTTACATGGCTGCCGCGCTGAGCCAACAAACAGCTGATCAGCTGTTTG